ATCATTTCAGGACGCAATTCAACGTTAAAAATGCTTATGCTGACTGTTGTAATGAGCATGTTCCGAAGTTTCTTCATCATTACGGCAATGCTTCTGTTTGTTCTATTTTACGCCTACACCGGCGTCATTTTATTTGGTATGGTTAAATATGGCCAAGCTGTTTCCAAGTAAATGCATTTTGCTTTTTTACATCTGTGCAAATGAAAGCACGTATTTGTTTGTGCAGGTGGAAAGGTATAAAGTTAAAATTGTAAGATATCTGCAGTGAAAATTCTGGTCCAAAATCAAAGAAATTATGTCCCGAGTGTCGATTCTGTTTGAAATATGAATCTGCGGCAAATTCGCACTGACTCTTTATTTATTCGAAAGAAAACGTCAGTGGACTTCCTGCAAATAATTCGCAGCAGATAATTGAAAGTTTTGCGAGAATAGTAGAACAGAAGGATTCGACTTAAGTGTCCTGTACAAAAAGAAATTTTACTATGCAGCCTGTGTTTCATCCCTTAGCTGTAAACACAGACTGCGCATGCGAGTAGGAGTGGGAATCTTCAGTACAGCCTCCTACTTGCCATGTATTGAAGGGACATGTAACTATTTTGCAAGACGGAGACGTGAAAGAAGAATTGAGAAAGAGAGAGTAAGAGTGCGTGGAAAAGTGCAGCCGCATGAAAGCAATAAGAGTGTGGAGGAAACTAACCTATGGTATGGGCAGTAATTCTACGAAGTTAAGAGAAGGCAGTTTTCATGAGAATAAAATGATAACTAGGTCTTTAATTCCTGCATCATAGGGGTAGATGAATTTGCTCAGTACTGATCGGTTCAGAGCGTTCTAATTTGGTAGCATCAAACTTTTTTCGTCTATGGATATTCATAAAGCGTCTAGGCCAGTCAAGAAACCCGTCTGGAAGGGTGGATGTGCGTGCATATCGAAGTAACTGTGTTATAATAACACCTTCTCGTACCATATGGTCCACATCAATATTTTCTGTCCATGTGTGAGTCTGTACACTTGAAAGGAGCATTCGTTAAGTCTTTATTATATGTGCAGTCATGAAAAACTATTTTTGGTAGAAAAACGATTTTGAGAGCCAGGTAAGCTAGGAAACTGAAATTTTCCAAAGAACAAGACAGTGTCTGCTAGTCGATGTGATCTCACTGCAACACGAAATCGCGCAAAAAAACATGATCATGCCCGCAAACCTTGCGCGCCACAACATCACTGTGTTGTTTTTAGACACGTGAATTTTCGTACTGGTTCAGAAGCTTTAGTGGTTTTGTTTCGAAGTATCACTGGTGAAGACTGGAACGACATAATGCACGATTGCATGGTGATTTTTCTCAAAACCACATTATATTTAAAAAGACAGTTTTATTGACGACAGTTTTTTGTTTACTAAACCGCCTGAAAGTGAAGCTAAATGAAACGGTACTTTAGCGCAGCCCTCCACTGTGTTATTGGAAGGAAGGAGCGAATTACTGGGAAACTGACTGCGGTAATTACTATGGTGCTATCATTTATTTCTGTTCGTTTTATGTTATCATCACATACATTGTTCGTAATTTATTAGTGGGTACGTTTTGTTCTTCTGGTCGATCATAGAAATCTTCGTTCAGTTTATTCTAGCTTCTGTTGCATTATATACTTCGGTCAGCAATCCACTGACGTTAGTTTGTTGCAGCAATTATTATCGAAAATTTCTCGTTATTTTACTCAAGTGAAGAGGATGCTCTGCTAAGTTATGCTGATATACGTAATTTCCAGAATGTCTGGAATATGGTTGACACTGATCAGAAGGTTAAATCGTCTTGCTTTGTGCAGTACTTAATGCCAAAACTTTTTTCACAAGTTTATGGCTGCACTTTAATAAGTTGGTCAATCGCCGGTATTAATGTCTTACACCTTTGCAGTCGATGCACCTTCGGCGTTTCTGTGTTTGCTGGGGATGAATTTACATCATTCATTGATTTGCCTGGCGTTAATCATGACGCGTCTTCCATAAATACTGCTGCTGCATTTTTTGAGCGCTAAAGTAGCGCGGCTGATCCACACAAACAAAATGTTGAATGAGGTTTTCATTTAGTAGCTCAGTGAGCCACCATGTAACCCAGGCTGGAATGCACCAGGCGAGCCGGTGCGATCATGCGTTATTACACCAGACTTGAAGTAATTAGGTTAACTGCATGAGTGTTTGTTTCTTCACACCTACCTTGTGCTCTCAATACCGCAAATCATCATAAATTTTGCATAGAAGGAAATAAACAATTTCCGTTTGGCGGTCGTTTTTTGAAAATGACCTAGCCGTTCAATGAGTAATTTTCCCACCAAAAATTTAAGTGCCCGTACACGAGAACCACGCACGCCTGAGGGCTGAATTTGATAATTTTAAGTCGTATATGGGCTGGGAACGTCTCCTGAAAATTTCAAACTCCCAGCTATGCTAGTTCTCGAGCTAGCCATTTTCCCGCTAAAAAATTTCACGGGACCGGACGTGAGAACCACGTATGATTGGAGGCTGAATTTGATAACTTAAGTCGTACATGGGATAGGAACATTCCCTGAAAATTTCAGCTTCCTAGCCTTGCCAGTTCCCGAGTTAGCCATTTTTCCGCCGAAAAATCTCACGGGGCCGTACGCGGGAACCACGCACTCCTGGGGGTTAAATTTGATAAATTTAAGTCGTACAGGGGCTGGGAGCATTCCCTGTAAATTTCAGCTTCCAGAGATAGCCATTTTCCCGCCAAAAAGTATCGCGGGGCCGTACGTGAGAACCGCGCATGCCTGAGGGATGAATTTGATGACTTTAAGCCGTACACGGGCTGGGAACATTTCCTGAAAATTTCAGCTTCCCGGCTTTGCTAGTTCCCGAGTTAGCCACTTTCCCGCC